AGGACTTGAGGCCTGTTGCTGGTGGAGGAGTCTGCGGGGGAGGGGGGTTGGCCTATCTTGAAGCGCAAACTCGGCGATGCGACGAACTTTCCGCCCGCCGCAGTATTCGTTGCCATTCCTATGAGACGACACATGCTGGCCTTAGAGCCGCACGCTCCCGCTCGCGTCGCTCCAAGTCCTGGCTGAAGAATCTTGGGATTCAGGCATTTTTGGATTCAGGCAATCTGTTCGTCTTCAGGCCTTTGAAGATCCACAGCATGTGAGGTCCTATTCCAGCAACTGCCCAGACGTTACCAGCTTAGCCATGCCAGCTACAATTGGGCCTTGAACGCCCCTGCCCCTCAAGAACCTCTGCGACACAGCGTGGTGTGGACTTGCTTAAGCGGAGGTGGTTACTGTCCTGGCACAAACCAGATATGGAGGCTTCAAAGCTGATGGCAACTTCTTGGGGGTTCAGGCTATTTCCAAGAGCATTGCACAGAAGTTCGCTGTGGAAATCAAGATTAACAATAGCTCGGCTCCATGTGCACCTAGCTTGGACACGCCATGCATGCTCCCGAAGTCCCAAGGTTTCTTCGGGTCTGGGCAAGACGTCGGCCTCTAGGGTGTAGAGTGCAGTGGATGTATGAGAATGTTTGAGCCCTTGCCCCTCCAATTCTTCTTGGAGGACCCGCAAGATCTGGCAAGGAATGCTCCTCATGGGCTGCATCGCAGGCCAGACGAGACATGCAGTACCCCAAGCTGGGTCACCCCAAACAGTGCAACAAACACCCTTCCACAAACCCGTCTAGCAAACCACCGCGTAAAAGCGTGCACAGAAAAAAGCCGGTGGCTGTCCATCAGGGCAATTCGCTCCCGCATGGCTGCTACCTGCAAAGCTTGGGTAGGACAGTTCACGAGGTGCAGGGCTCCACCAACAATAAGTTGCAAGAACCAACTTCCCGGGCTCGCTCTTGGGCTCTGGCGAGAAAGACCATCGAGCATAGATTCTCCAACAAGGTCAAGGCAAGGTTACCGTTCTAAGCTCTGTCTGGGGATATGCGCTGAGGTTTTGGCATCCGATGTGTCCCCTCAAAAACTTACTTAAGGTTCAGGGTTTGCAGACGAGAAAGTCCAACCATGCATCAGCTGCACCAACTCATCAGATCTGAGGACAGTTTGTGTTATGGTCTATCTACCCTATGCAACACACAGGGAGCAGTGAGGACTCTAAGATCCGCGAAAAAGCTGCTTAAGCTAGTGGTGTTCAGCCACGCGACTTTCACAATTCGTGTGACATGCTGTGATAGCTGGCCTCTGCATCCCAGGCCTTCCGCCTGGCCTGCTTCGCTTCCAGCACCCAACGCTCCTGACACAACAAATCAGAATTTGCAGCGTCACGGGCGGTCCGGATTGGAGTACACTTTAGATTGGACTGATGAGGTTCGGCCTTTCTCCTGAAACTCAGAACGGCTTACAGCGCATGATCAAGCATACCCACGAAGATGCATTCAGGCAGGACGTGTTGCTGGTCGACCAGAGCTAATGCAGAGAACCACCTGAAACTCAGACCAGTCGCACCTGGCGTTCGGCCCAGACGCGCTTCCGCGCCTTTCCAGTAGGATATTCGGTTTTGGGTTTAGGGCCGGGGTTGTCAGGTTAAGTTCAGGGTTTTTGGGCTAGGTGCTAGATAGCAGCATTTCTCAAAAATGGACTCATTACGATGGGACCAAGTGATGGGGGCCCTAAAACAAGGATTTGGAAAGATGGAAAAGGTAGAGCTGATCCTTTCGCATCGGTCGGGGAGCTACAGAATCCCCGACTTTCGTCGCACACCCTAGTATAGGGATAAACATATTCCGTGAAATCTTGAAGGTTGCTGAGGGCACCCTTGCCGAATCTCAGAACCGATCCCACCTGCTTTGCGGCTTCTTTGTCCCGCAAATGCTGCGCCATTCGCACCGCGAAGCGCTTGCGAGCCATTGCCTCGGGCTCAAAGTCGTCGTTTCTTCATGGTGGCATTCAGTGTTAGAGCTTTAGGGTTTGGTATGGAAAGGAAAACGGGCCTTGTAGCCACCCTTGTATAAATAGTCCCTATCAACTACCCACCAGTCAGATGGGGGCAGGCAGTATTGCAAGGCGGAAGGTATTTGATGCTTGGGCTCAAGATATTCTAGGTAAAGGCCTTCCTTCTGTCCAAGGGAGCATGTTGGGTCACAAACCATGCAGGGCCAAAACTTCTGGGCCACCGGCACCACGGAAGTGCGCCTGCATCTTTATGGCCTTGGCTGGCAACGACTTGCCAACACCGAAAGCTCGCGGGCTCGCGACAACGGCCCGAGGAAGTCAGACTATGCCCCTGAACCATCTGTCTGAGGCCGTACTGCCCGCATGAAGAAGGTTTTGAAATCTTGCCGCTCAGCTGGTCCTATGCCTGCAATGCTGCCACTCTCGGCGTTGCAGCAACTGTACACTAAGCGGGGATTGTGGTTCAGCTGACTTGATGCAGCATTTCTCCAAACTTCACCATGCTATCCACCGGCCGTGGCTAGGAAGCCATTGATGAAGAAGGAGCCGCGTCCTTCTAACGTAAACTCTATGAGGCCTTCATGGTCTTGCGGCAGGATGTCAACGTGCACTATGACGCAAAGGCAAAGGTGCCTGTCCTGGCGCACCAGCATGTCTCCAACTTGCAAACCTCGATGAGAGCATGTTGCGTCCGAACTGGCTGGCAACCACGCATACCCATGTGGCGTTAGGCACCAGAGAAGCTGATCCGGGAGCGTTCTGAGCTGCCAGAAATGCATGTCCTGGTCTCGCAGAGTGACCTGAACTATCGTTGATGGCCCTCGGCCCAAATCCCTTAGCATGTTGCATCCTCTTTGCAGCCATGTCTCCTCCCTGCACTTTACCACACGAGACAAGACTTTCTGTCCCTTCTCAAAATCGAAGGAGAGCAGCTTCGTCCCACTGCGAATGTGGCGGGCTTGCAGGGATATGCGACTAGCCAGAACAATGGCGGAGGTGGGCAGCACGTGCCCAGATTTTCCACAAGGATTGGAAGCTCCTGGAGGCACAGCACCCACATGCCAGCGCAGCAACCCATCCACACCCAATCGAACACTCTTCTCTAACATAGCTTTCTCACCTGAGTGCAGACGCATCTGCATCCAGAGGTGCGGGTTGGCGGCAAATGCCCTGGCAAGATCTTTCATGGTTTTGATGCCCTTGGCTTCCAGCTCTGCTGCTAGCAGCTGAGACTGCTGACCCGCTTGTCGGCACAGTGCACGTACTGGTTGACACTCCCAGGAGGGCTCACGAACCGCTTGCACAACTTCGCGGTGACTGCACTCTCTGTACACCATTTTGAGTACTTCTCGGGACAATCTGTGTCTGGAAAAACCTGCCTCATCTACCTGGGCTGGCTCCACATTTCCTTCCGCAGCCATGAATGCGGCAGCAGCTCCTGCCACAGCTATTGCGACCGTTGTCACATACTGCCCAGCAGAGTTTGCATGAGAGGCCAACCCTGGCAACTGCTGGCTCACTTGCGCACCACCTTGTTGCGCAGCGCTAAGTGCAGAGCAGGCCAAGATGTCAAAGTGGGACAGCCAATCAAAGTTTAGCGCAGGGTATGCCAGGAGGTCAAATTGAGAAAAAGGATCCATTGCTCTCACAATCTTCAGGAAGTCTACTTCCCCTCCGAGTCCATCTCATGCATGGCCGCGCAACACATGCAGAAACTTGATTCCACATTCTGCAATCCCTCACCCGCGATGCTGTCTGATGAAGAGCAGCATAGCAAAGCCACCACACTTCCGTGAAGATCAAACATGCAAGATTCACTATTGATCTGTCCTTCGATCGAGACCTACTGGGTGTGCCTGAATGGTGCATTCTGGGAGTTTTTGGCCGCAGCATGCAGAGGGCAAGGACCAAACTGGTGCTGGTCCTTGCTGTGGAAGGTCGCATGCATTGAAAGCCTTGCCATTGCCTGGCAGGGAGCGGCAAGCAAGAGATATCTTAAACGCCACTACACCTCTCCTGTGCATGAGATGCAGAACTGATGGCTTGTGTGGCATCTACAAACAGCCCAAGGACTCACTTCTCGTGCGGCAGTCCAGAATGGCTGAGAATATCCTGAGCGAAGAAAGTCCCGGCACCATCAAGGACAAGGTTGAAGGTTGGCTGTTTCGGAAGAGCACTGCTCACCGAGATAACCTCTGCAACCTGTCCTTGCAACACCAGCATTTCACCGATTGTCAACTTGCACACCGGCGAGGATTTGTCCAAGTTGGCTTCTTCTGGGGCAAGAACTGCCCATCCATTCTCCTTGGTGTAGAATGGGTGCCCCGCAGTTGCTTTTATCGTAAATTTCTTGCCCTTGGAGTCGCACAGTGACATCTGCCGCATGGTATCGCTGGACCCAGTTGTTACTTTCACGACGCTCCTCACTCGCTTCCGTCCTTTGTTGAAGCTGAGTATTTTGTCGCCCTCTTTGATGTCCTTGATCCTCTTTTTTGTGCGATCAGCCATCGTGATGCAAGTGTCTCCATCCAAGCAGTCTGCGAGCGGGGCCAGTAGCACTGCTACTGCCGAAGCTCCTGCAGCAGCCACTGCTGCAGCTGCCCTGGCAGCTGCTGCAGCAGCTGCCTCAACTACCCCCAGTCCCCCAGCGGTCATGACAGCGGCGCCAACAAGAAAGGCCACAACGGCAATCTGCGTGCTTGTCCATGATTTAGTTTGCTGAGGGGCATTGGAATTCAAGTCTCCCTGTGGCATGGCGTGATGCTCGGCGAACGTCCCATCTGCAAATCGACGAATCCCTTCTGCGATTGTTGTCTGCACGCCGGATGGCACATTGAGTTCGCGAAGCACTGCTGGCAAATCAGCCTCGGCCAGCTGATCCATGTCCATGTAACCTGCTCTCTGGAAGGTCCGGGCCCAGCGCTTAGGGCTGGGGATGTTCATCTGATCGAAATGATGGGTGACATCATCGGACCCAGCTGAGGACACCGGGCTGCTTGCTGTTCCTGATTGAGCAGCATTCGAGCTTGCGGGCGATGACACGATAGACCAGTGATCACTGTCCGATGATGCCACGGTCTGCGTCACGGTCCGCGATGCCGCCATGCTGTAGGGAAGCCAGATGATTGGGGGCTGTCGTTTGAGTCCAACTGCAAAAAGGGACAGAGGGAGCAAATGAAGAAGATGGAGCATGCATCCCAACTGCTTTTATGAAGCTGCAGCGCTTTCCACCAGACAGTGTCTGAAGGACAAATGTATTGTCCCGATTGCACGACAGACACCCCCGTACTACATACAGCATGATATGATGTGTCAGGCCAAGACAGAAACATTCCCAGTTGACAGTGAAAGCGTGGAGCGGAGTCCTGCAGATGCTACCAATGACTGTGCCTGTGTCAAATGCATTGTGGATTCTTAATTGCGAGGTCTGAGCAGGTGTGCCAATCCGCCCATACGGTTTAACCAACAAGGCGAGCTGCGGCTCTCTCACGCCACTTGCTCCAGACATCGCGCAGGATGGCTTCCTCAGAGCGTTGAAAACTGTAAGGGTCTTGCGGCTTGAAACTCCGAGCTGAGTCAAAAGTCATTCACTGACACAAAGGACGAACCACAAGTAAGCAGCATGGCTCTGGAAGCGAGCATGAACATCAACCTACTGCTGGCGCATGCAGACGATAAAAACACTGACTCATCTGGCCCCTCTTGGAAGGGCTCCACAGTTCAGCTGGCAAAAAAGCATGGCAGCCTGATTCTAGGGCTAGACAATGCCTCTAAGTACTGAGTATTGGAGCTTGAATGCCGTCAAGCGTTGGAGCACGGCTGTAGCTGGGGATTGAAGTGTGGCATCTTCTTTGTCGGATTCTCAAAGATAAATGCTGATAGTTCAATAGATCTGTGCAGAGGCCAGATTGCTGTTGAGACCAGGCCCGGAGGTTAAAAATCAGGTTCGAATTGAGCAGGCTGCAAGGCTGGAGGTGCCAAACACGTATCTCGCATCAACTATGACGAGTACTTATCTGCTCCCCAATGAGCTATAGTCTAAACTCCTTAAATGACTACAGCTCAATGGTTGGTGTGCCTTTGAGATCGGACGTCACAGAGACGAGAAAACTCACCTGTGCTGATGATGGATCCTGACAGCTGAAGAGCAGATTGTACCGCAACTCGAACGGCCTCGGTCTAGGGACATGCTGGAGCCTGAATACTTCCGGGTACTCCCGCAGCAATCCGCGTGCGGTTACAAGAATTCAGAGTGTTGCCATCATCTAAGCCACGGCATTCGTAATCTTACGTACGACTAGCATAGCCTACCGAATAACCACCCTGGACCCTGTCTAAACCTGAACCTTAGACCCTACCGTAAGTTCTAAACCACATTACAGTAGCACACAGAACGAAACCATGACTGAACCCTGCGCTCTAAACTCTAAACGCTGCTACCAAGAGTCCGTGGCGGAGATCTCCTTCAGTCTCGCTGCCAGGCGCTCTCGCTCCTTGTTCCTGGCCATGATGTGGGAGCTTGTCTTAAAGATCATGTTTTGGCGTTTCTGAATTTGAATCGACTTGCTTGTTTGGATGGGTTTGGGTGGATGTCACAATTGTGCGTACATGCTGGGAATTGCAACATTAAGGCAACAGGAAGCACACGAAACGCCTCTGCCGTTCCTAGGGTTCCAGGTGCGGTGTCGTCTTGAACTCTACATATTGACTGCTGTCTAAACTGTCTAAACTGGCTTTCCGGATCTGTCACTAGGTGTATCTACATAGCGCATCACAACTCCAAATGATTGCTGGGGCGTTACAATGGAACCTTTCAGGGTAGCTGGCATGGCTGGGTTTCCCGCACCTGGCAATCTTCTCAGCTGCCTCCGCCAAGCGGCGCTTGGTGGCCTCAAACTTGGCGCGCCTGGGCGCTTTTGCGGGCATACCCTGCGATGCAACTGCTGCGGCTACTGCTGCCTGCCGCTGCCGCAGCACTCCAGGCCAAACCCTGGCCCTTACCGACCGCTCAACAGCAAATCTTAGATGCCGAGCCACAACTTCGGAAAGCCATAACCCAAATTGCCAGCCGGGCCCCAGGCTCAATGTCCTTTAAGGCTTTGAGTGCCTTGCGTGGACCTCGGCCCCGCCAGACGGCCTCCGCAAGGTGTTGCAGGATTTTCAGCCTGGAACATTTCGGGGATTGGGAAAGAGGCTGTTTCATGTTGTCTTACTCGCAGCCGTGAGTCTTTCAGGAAAGATAGCTGTGACCCATCGCTAGAGTGAGCCGCCTGGAGGAATCGTGCAGCCTCAGTAGCCATCAGCTTCTGCATCAACTCACGGCACTTCTCCACTTCCTCCTTGCCTCAGGTCAGCAACAGCTCAAGAACAATCCCTCTGCAGAGTTGGTGACGCAAGGCCGAAGCTTCACCATAGCCAGGAGACGCAGAGCAACAAATGTCAGCAAAATTGTGCTTTAGGGAAGCTGCGTGCTTTGCCATCCAGCTTCGCGTTGTTGGCGAAGAAGCGGCGCGGGTTCAACTTTGGATCCCCTTTGCCCTTCCTGAGATGCAGGGGCAGCGATCATACTGCTGCAGTGGGCAATGAGGACACTACTACTCCGATTTCGGACACTTTTATGTGAGGGGTTAAGCCGGGTGCAACAGTCGCACTCCCTCATACTCCTCAGCATACAGGATTACTGACTGCAACAAGTAACCGTCATGTTTGTCTCTCTTGTATGCCCTCGTTACACAAAACAAACTCTCACAATTCAACTCGCTGAGTTGCAGAACGGCACTTCCCGCGATCGCAGAAAGTGGCACGCTCGGTTGAAGACCCTCTGGCATGTTATGCATAGTAAATGCATCCGATACAGACGCATTTGTGGTGCATAACTGACGCAAAGCTGACTACAAAAAAGGATGCTATCTTGCATTTTGTTCATGAAAGTTGGGCCTGCCACAGTACGTAAAGATATTCGATGATGGCGACTCGCAAGACGCAAGACAGAAGCCACAAGTTTGAGAAACGTCCACAGTCCCTACCAGAACGATCCAATGCCGTGTGAAAATCACATGCCAATGAGGGACTGGGATATGCCTTCTACAAACCCACAGCAGCCATTCCAGTAGTACTTGTGCCCTTTGATTTCATTCGAGGCGCATCAAGCGCTCAGCTTCTTCTGCCATAGCACGCTCGCGCTCGGCACGCTCCCTGAAGGTGAGGAGAAGCAGGATGAAGGAGGATGAAGGAGGATGAAGGTAGGAGGAGGAGAAGGAGGTGGGGGTGGTAGCGACAGCGGATACTAGTTGGTTCAGACTTCCAAGAGATAAGGTGCAGATCCTATGGCATTTAGGCAGCTGCTAACTGGTACTGCCACTACTACTAGTGCACAAGCTATGACCATTTCTGTTATTTATTATCAATGCTGCTACTAATTAATATTATTCCTGGGACTTCTAGAACATTGCCAACTGTCAAGTATTTTCCTCAACAAACGTGTCTTCCTGGGCAAGCTGCTTCTCTGCCGCTTCTCTCTCGTCTCGTGCTTGGCTGTCCATCTCCTCCTGCAGCCTTCGCATCTCCTCCTGCAAAGGAACACACTGAAGGCTGTGTCTTCAATGGAAGGATGATGTTACAGGCATCTGCAGAAGATGCTGTCCCCTGCTCCCCTACAATCCATTTCCCCAAAACATGCCGCACCATGTCTGATTTCCCCAAGAGTCATGGCCCCGGATTTTCCAAACAAAGTATAACTTGGAAAGTCTCCCTTTCTTCAACGACGGGCCGGACCGCGACTCTTGGCAAACAGGCTCTGCTCAATCTCTTCAATCACCAGGCACACAACCGGAAGTATGCTAACGTCAAAAGAGACCTCATCGTTCAGAAATTCTTGAGTGAGCCGCCAAGACCACAAACCCAGAAGCAGCAAATGCCCAAGAAACCGAGCTGAACCCCTCATGGGTCTGGCCAGCCTCCTCCTCCCTGCGTTTCTTTTCTGAGTCTTGCTGCTTCCGCACAGCCTCAGAGGATTGGTGAACACCTTGTTCACAGGAAGTACCACGCGACTGCATGCAGCGACCTCAAACCTGGACCCTGCCACTCCCGCCTCCCAGAACCTTTGAGACACGTGTACCAACTTGAACTCCACGCAAGAAAGCATACAACCTCATGACGGCTGTGTTCTTTCCAGCTGGCAGCGGGAGCACGCTCACCATGATTGCAATCATCATAGCCATAATCATAGCCATAACCATCATCAGCATCACCACCATCATCATCCTCATCGTCGTCATCGCCGTTGTCACCATCATCAACGACAAACCCATTGATACCTCAAGCTCAAATTGTTTTCTTCTTGTGGACTAGTCGACAAGTCGTAGTATGCAACCTCCCCGGACTGAATTCAAAACTGTCTCATGCCACTGCAGCGGCCGCTATCAAAACTCTGGCCCCCTTAGATTCTTAGCTGGTCCCGAGAGACTTGGTCCCTTCAGACCCAAAACTGACTGCAGGCTAATGTCACACAAGCCTTAATTAACGACGAGAACCTGTTTAAGTGTTCGCCAAGCAGGACATGCCGTGTTGCCGGTCTGAGAAGTTTTTGAACCAAAAATCTAACATCATCTCGTTCTGCTCAATGACACCTTAACGATACCAGACTCCACTCCGCGGCAGCTTTTTGCTGGGTGTCTAAAGTGACCTGTAAAGCTGCCTGTAGCGGCCGTAGTAATTGCTTCCAAATCTTCATTGCAGGGGGACCACAACAGTAGGAAAAATGGAAAGTGGAGTGAGAGTAGCCGTAGTAATGACCCTAATCACTACGGCATCCCTAAAGAAAACAAACACCAAGGCTGGGGCTGCCCCTCGCTTGTCGCGCTGTCGCTGCTTGGCCTCCTCCCGCCTAGACTGCTCCGCCTGCAAAAAACGAGTGGGGGCTGGGCGCTGAGAGTTAAGGACTTAGGATGTAGAGCTTAAAATTCAATGTTTAGGGTTTACGGCTTGGGAGTTTAGGGTTTATGTTTGCGGTTGAGGGGTTAGGGGTTCCTTTTAATTGATCACATTCTGCTTGCTGGCCGCCCAGACCATCTTTCGCCGAGCAGAACTTCGGTGGGCACGTTTCAATCACCCCTTCGCACCTTTTCTAGTGCAAGCCTCTGGTTAGAGGGCGTGTTCCTTGGCTTTCTTAGTTGTCTAGACCAAACCGCTCATCAGTGCTCGTCCGAGTCAGATACACCGGCTTCTCGGGCGTTTGGGGCTTAGGGCTTGGAGTATCCAGGTCATACCAATTGCGAAAATTAGAGCGGGCTTAGAAGGCTATAGCATAGGTAGTTATCTGGATGAATGATGAGCATATTCCTTTGCGACCTTTCGGTTTTGCAAGGTTGTGTCCATTTCTCGAGGCTTCAAGATTTTGTATGTAGCACAAGGTGCTGTGTGAGTGAACGCCCCAGCATGGCCCTCACGGCTTCCAAACTGTTGGGGCAATCTGGAACTGGGGCTTTCAGTTCAGGGTCTCAGCGCGTGTCTATGGAAGGGCTTGGAGTGCTTTGAATACTTAGGGGTGGGGAGTTTGAGGTCTTCGGACCTGAGGTACTCAGCAGCCCTTGGCGCCACAGACTTTACACCCTTTCCTAGTTCGTCCACGTCCGGAAATAAGTACTGTAACCTGAATTTGAGAGCCGCCTTGCCCTTTCTGAAGGGTGTCGGCCCTGACCTATAGTAACGTTCTGATTTCCCAGAATATCCCTCAAATAACGGGATCTCATAGTGACTCTCAAAACGGGAAACCTACTTTAGAACAATCCCCCGAAGTTCAAAGATGGCCTCGGCAAACTCACGTTCCGCTCGCAGACGTTCTTCCTCCTCAGTCTCTTGGGCTGGCAAAACTACTGCATCACAACGTATCTTCAATGTAATTAAGATCGTACAAGTTGTTTCAATCAAGTTAGGGTCCTTTCAGGTAGAAAGGATTATCGGTAACTGCTCCGTCTACCCCTAAGCTGCCTTGACCGCGCCTTCACATTTGCACGCAGCTCTCTTTTCTGGAAAGTCCTAGACAGAACACCTTGTTCAAACCTTGGCTCAATGTTGGTGAGCTTTAGGACGAAACTCAACAGCTCTCAAAAAAAGGCCTGCAAATATCCGAGACTGATGCCATGAGAATACGTCTGCCTACGCACTCCTTCAGTTCCTTGCCAAGCTGCCGCCTGCTGCATCGCAAACTCTGCCTTCCGTCGCTCCTGACACACCGAGCACCAGTGTCACATCACGCGCAAGGCCAAGAAAGGCTGATGCACGAAAAGCCTGAAAGGATAGACTGCTATGAACAACCCCGTGTCCACCTAATTGTTCTGTTGGTATCCAGGTTGGCAATAGTTCGTATGAGGGTGGAAACGGCTAACTTTCAGGATTCAGGTCGGGGCTACCTGTAGGATGTCTGCAACTCAGGTGCTCCTATCTGTGTGTGCTCGTTGAGCTGTCTGACTGAGGAGCAAGAGTTTTTGTAGCTTTTTGTGTCAGATCCATGACCAGAAACTCACAAAGGCTGAATGCCATTGCCGTTTATACAGACTCTTGCGCTAAGTCCTAGCGCAGCTACCTTCTCCATGCAGACGCAAGGATTCCTCAAAAAGGCTGTGACTTTCTGAAACCCTCCACCTGAAAAGAATTCCTGGCGAAGGATTTGCCTCGCTCACGCACCCTGATACGATCTTCCGTACATCTATTGTGCTTATTACTATCATTACTACTTAGGACTTATGGCTTTAGTTGTTACCGTTACTCTTATTACTACTATTACTCTTATTACTAGTGTTATGATTTTTAGATATTCACACTGAATAGCGATCCGTGCGCAAGAGCCGGCAGCCGGTTCGGCTCCTCTGCCGCCTTCTGGCGCTCCCGCTCAGCTTTCTTGCGACCTGAAACCCATGCGAAATCATTCTAAGGTTGCGATGTTGGTATAGTGTTTAGGGTTTCAAGGTTTGGGATGGGCCCAGTTGTATCCCATTAGAAGTTTCCCGGAGTTTCGAGACAAGTGCAAGGCAGCAACTGCGCCTCAGCAAAGTTAGGACTCTTCTAATGATGGACTACGCAGCCCCTGTCAGAAAGTCACCTAACAATTAGCCCAGATCTTCAATATGGGTCAGGATCCATTCGAAGAAGACATGCATTCAAAGCCATCCTGAGAAGGCACCTGCTTCGTTCTGGTACAATGCATCCTCCGCAGCTTTCCGGCTTTGCTCCATCAGCGAGACGGGATCCTCCCACAAAATTGCATGCAGAACTGGTCCCGCGAGCTTGAGGTTTCGGATTGTTTTTTCAGGGTTTCTGGGTCTCTGAA